GAGTGGGAGTCTGTCCTGAACAAGCCAAAGCCCTTGTTAGTATAGATGGTTCCTACAGAGCTGCAGAGAGCATCTTACCCTGTCCTAAATGCAGCTTTTGAGTTAAGTAGGATAAACTAACAACCTTCTGGAGCTTCCTCTTTCTCTGCTGGACACTATAAAAGTTTAGACAACAAAATCAGAGAGATTTAATTTTTAGGAGAGATGACTTGTAGATCCTTGTAAATCTGCTACCACCTCTTGCCCATGAGTGCAGCTCTTGCTGACTTCTTACCACAAAGCAAGAACTTCAAGTCTTTCTACATTGGGCTGAAAAGAGTTAAATGAGTTAAATCCTTGCTTTCACCATCTCCTATGCAAAGCCAAAGGTACCTTCGATGCCCGTTGTAATGGAGAGTGATTATGGGAAGTAAATTTTGCAATGGAATTACCGTAATTGTATCTTCTGTTCCAACAGGTATTTTGAGGAAGCCAGCATTTTAGATAATTAGTGTTATTTTGTGTAAATAGCGGAAAGAATACAGGAGTAAGCAAGGTGTTTCTCTGACAGGCATGTGGTAGCTAACAGTATGGGTTTGACTGAACCTGCTGAAAAGTTCCCTGCGAGAAGAAAGCGAACAAGCACATGAGAGCCTCTGCCAGGCAGGCAAGTAGAGGGTGTCTCCAGCACTTCAGGTGTTTGATTTAACCAACAGTTACTGCAGTGCACTTTTTTCTCCCCAAATTCAAAGCTTCTTGGTCTGACATTTTAGCAGCCTCAGGCCTTCTCCATCCCAGGCTCTTGTTCATGTGTCAACTGGAACAATTAAATACAATAGGAATGGCGTTTTTACTGGTGTTTCTGCCCTGCCTGTGTCGAGAATAAATGAGGCAGACTGAAAATAAAGGCAAAATAAAAGTAAAGTATGATTTTCATCCTGAATCTCTAGTGAGGTTTGAATTGTGTTTTCAATAAGATTCCAGTCTGAACAATTCCTGCTCTTTCTACTTGATGCCGACTGTCTCTGTAATATCATTTCACACTTCAGTTCTGTAACCTTGATGTTGCAGAGGGTAAAAGTACCCATGTGAGCCGCGTGGGTCAGGTAAGCCAATGGAAGCAAAGATGCAGCTTATCCAGGACAATTCATATGCAAAAAAAAAAAAAAAAAAAAAGACAAAATTCAGCTTCATACAGAGAATAAATGAACTTTAGATAGACTCGAGCTGACACATCCTTGAAAACTGTTGAGCCGTGACAGGTCAAGGCATTACCTCTCATCAGCCGAGCTGCACAGGAGCTCTCCCCCACCCTGAAAACTCTGGCTTAGCAACATTTCATGGAGCTAGCACCTTTCGTTTGCAATGGGATGGGCAAAGAACAGCCAAACAGCTGCTCACCACATCAGCCAATACCTTCCCATACAGAGCGGGGAAAAAAACAGTCCAGAAGCCATCCTTTGATGGCTGCTGGAACTTCCCGTTTGGCAATATCAAGGTTTCTACAAACAGGAAAATGACACAGTCACTACCTTCAGTGCAGGTAGAAGATAAATAAATGAGCAGGATGCACATGTGAGACCCCGAACCGTGCAACGTTTGGCATCAGAAAAAAGCTTTCCAGGTATAAGTATTGTCATGTCTTTTTCACATACACATAGGAAAACAAAAAATCTCTCCCTCTGGCCTTCCAGATTTTGGAGGAGTCCTGTTTCCAAGCATTGCTTTAATCTGGTACAGAGAACCTGACCCTCCTGTGTAAGCATAGGGGGATCCAGGGGAGTTCTGGATTTACAGACCTGTCCTGCAACTGCAAACCTTCTCCTCTGTGCTCAGGCATAGCGGTGTGGCCCAGGAGCCCTCCTAGGGACAGTGGTTGTAAAATTTTCCCTTTTAACAGAATGTTTCCTAACTTGTGAGCAGCTTGGTCATTGAAGTCCTCCAGGGTGTCCATCTCCAGGGGCTCCATCATGCCCAGATGCAGGCATTTGAGTTTTCCTAAATCTGGGCTCTTTCTTTAGAAAAAAGAGCCTCCAGCCTCTGGTGGTAATCTCTCCTCGTGCTCCTGGCAAGAAAGCCATTTGCACACCTTGTTTCGATCGTGCAGCTAAATGTATGAGGTTACATGGCGTAAATCTGGGCTGAAGTGCAGAACCCCAGCCCCTGAGAAGGAAGTCCTATCAATTTCAGAGAATTTCTTCATATTGTCTTGGAAAGAAGCCAGTTGAAAATGCCTGAAAATCCTGAGGACACGTGGTGTCCTTGCACTCTCTTCTACGTGTAGACAAAAGCAATAGGGGGTGAGCAGAGAGAAACCACATGTATCTTAAAAATAAAGTGAAGACCTGAATTTCCCATGACAGCTTTTCATTCCCTGGCATGTACCGCTGCAGGTAACAGCACACAATGGGCTGGAGCTCGTCAGAAGAGAAGTACATCTTTTAAGTCAAATATTTGTCATGCCTGTGAGAAATTAATTGCTAGTTTTGCATAATTAACTTCCTAGCAGGCTGCTTCTCTAAAAACAAAATGACCTGAGGTACAGTAGAAAATTCTGAAATTTTAAGTAAATAAGTGTTTTCAGTTAAAGAGATCAATGAGATTAAATGATTCATTACGGGCCTCTTGCAGATTTTGAGGAACACTTGCTGGAAAAACCTGAGCAATTAGTTGTGGGTTTGTGTGTGGGTTTGTGCATGTTTGGGGGTTTGTTTTTTTGTTTGTTTGTTTTGGTTCATTTTGTTCAGATTTGGGAATCTCTCCCCATCTCTCCCCAGCAGACATGAGGAAGAGGTTGGGGAGCAGGAGACACAGCCGGGGTCTTTCTTACTCCCTGCAGGTGGCCAGGGGCATGCTACAAAGGGAAGGCTGAACTACCAGGGGAAAAAGGCTCGGTCATGACAACAGCAGAGCTCTCCAACTGGCATGTGAACTTCTCTCTCACAGTGTGAGTGTTGTAATCTTGTATGCCAGGGCGTCAGCAGAGGCTGGGGATTTATTATTTTAGACGATGGGAGTTCGAGGAGTAACTCCATTACCTGGCAGCAGCAGCGATGTCCTTGTGAGCCAGACACGGCACAAGGCAGGGCACGGGGCTGTGTTCTGCAGCATCAAGATAAGCATAAATAATACAAATCATTTGATGTGCTAAAATGTATTTGTAGACTTATAAGTAGAGTTTGTATGAAGCCACTTTTACAATCATAAAACCAGTTTCAGTAGACAGGAAAGCTTCAGGTATGCACATACAGTTTTCATGCTGATAAGTGGGATTAATACTTTTATAATTATCAATCCATAATTTTCTGTGTATGCACTTAGTAGCAACACACTGCCACTAATCCACATGCAGGCACACACCCATATATACATATTTACTCCTATTTACACACAACATACTGGCAGAGATCCTGACAGTGCATATACACTGCATGTGAACGTTGTATTGTTACCGCCCTCCCGCTGCACATGTTCCAGATGCAGCCGTAGCTCTGCAAAGAAGAGCCGTGGCTGTGATGTGTCCATTCCCAGCAGGTCTTCTCCGTCTCCAGCTTTAAATCCCATCGCCTGACTTTAAAGGCAGTGTGGAGCCGAACCTAGCAGATAGCTACTGCGCGGATGTCCCACGGTGCCGCTGCCTAAATTTTGTGTGTCAAAGGAATTGTCAGAGCCAGCTAAGTGACTTAGGAACTAGAAATGTGAAATATTTTGGAAGTCTTACTTACAGGACACTGTCTACTGACAATGAAATCTAGGGCTTAAAAACAGAGCTTGAATCTTTTAGATCTCATGAGATAGAATTTGTGGTCCTAGAAATTAGGGGAAAAAATGTTCTGACCTTAAAAAGGAGTGCACAGCTCTGAAAACATGGAGAGTAAATTAATAGAGAACCCTAGGATGCCAAGTTTATGGTCACTTTTTGGCTGCGTGCCTAAATGTGAAAAAGATATGTTCCGTGAATATCTTCTAATTAATTGCCTAAGGAGCTCAAAGCTACCAAACAAAGGGAAAATCATTTTTTGAAGCTTCGTAGCCATTCCTTTTATGGGTCCTGTTAAACAGTAACATCTGTTTGCAGAGCTGCAAGGCTTCCTCCTCTTCCCAGCCATGGTCCCTTCTCTGCTTTTTCTCCCTCCATTCTCGGGCAGTCCCTATTTCCAGCTAAGCTCCACCTGAACTCTGTCTCTTGTTCCCTGTGATCAGCTGGTAAAAGTGTGCTCCCAGGTGTAGTCTGGCCACAGAGCAAGTGGATTAATAACTGGGATGGAGATGTATCTCTTCTGCTTATGTAGTAAAGAATGAAACAAAAACTAATGGTTATTTTCAGATAGCCTGACAGTGATTAATTGCTGTTCCAGCAGATGCTCCAAATAAAAAATGTTGTAGCTCCCTGATTTATGCTGGGTGCAGAGCAACTAAGAGGAAACACATTGCAAAGATGGGGAGGGGGGCAGCTCCTACCCCAGCCGACATGCCACGGGGGTAACCCCCAGTATTGACATTAAAAACAAAGAGCCCAAGGTGCCCCCCTGCTCTGTCAGCCCTCCTGAGAGGGGGCAGAGGGGAAGGCAAGAGGCTGCAGAAGAGGTAGAAAGTCTCAGTCCGATTGATGGGAACGTAAAAATGAAAGGGAGAGGTGAGGAAGGCGTGGGGAGAATTTTATGATGGCATCAGTTGTGTAATAACACTGTGGGATTTTTATGTTTGCAGATGGGAAGAGATAATGCCCTGCTTTATGAACGGGGAGAATCAGTCAGACATTGCCACGGCCGTACCAAGAATGCGGACTGTTTGTTTGATATAGTGTATGATTAAGGGACACGACAGGGATATCTAGAAACCATCATGTAGGCAGCTAACCATCCATCTTTCTGACTTGTGTGCACAGCAAATTACAGAGCCCAACTTGAGTGTGTTTGTGTGCAAGCAGAAGCTACAGAGCTGGGCGCATTCAGTTCTTAGGGCTGGTTTGAAAAGGTGCAGAAGGGGAGAACAAACCCTTTGGGCAAGCTCTGCCAGAGCAGAATGTTCCTGGGGAAGTGATGCATCAGGGCCTTACACAGGGACATGCCCACGGGGCCCTGGATGTCCCCAGAGGAGCTGGTCTCTGCTGGCCAAGAGTGACATCTGGAAGTGGGAGAGCTCCTGCAGCAGCTCGTTGGTGATGGCAGCTCCTGCCTTGGCTGAGCACAGAAAGGCTTTGGGTACCAGTCCATCCACCCTCTTGTTCCCTGCATCCATCTTCTCCTTACTGGAGCTGAAACACCTGCGTGTGCACTAGGGCACAGAGTGGTTCCTACTGTGTATGGACCTGGTCCCACACCAGTGAGAGGTTTTCCAGGGGCCGTAGTCACCTCTGCGTGCATTCCTGCTGGACCGGAGAGACATGGATCAAATTTCCTGCTTTCCCCAAGGCATGTTTGCTTTTCTAACACTCTGCTTTAAAATAAAGTCATCCAGATTCTCCTTTGCCTCCACTGCAGGTTTCTCATCATGGTAGGAGATAAACTATGGAGAACAAAATCCCTATTTGATCATAAGAGCATTCCTAGGCTCTTTCATGCACAAGTCTTTTTAAAAAACCTTTCTAGTTTCAGAGCTATTTTCTGAGACTTGAAGAGAAAAAACCCAAACCTTATAAATGTCTCACAAGCACGTTGAAGGTCCCTATTAACTTTTCTGCTTTTCCTACAATAATTATTTCTGTCTATTTTAATTTTGCCTTGGTGGAGACGAACTCAGAGGCTGCTTCAGACGGAGGCAGGCATTGCTCCAGGCGCTCACGCAGACCGAAACGCGGAGCCCTTGCTGCTCACACTGCACCAGCCCATGGGGATGCCAGGATGGAACAGTGCAACTCCCCCCGCATCATCCTAAGTTTATTTTAAAGGCTGAAGAGGCACAGGCAGAGCCTGGCTCCGAATCCAGCTGCCAAGGGTTCAGATTTTGGCTCCGTCATGACTTAACTGTATTCATGGCAATTAATTTTAGCAGTCAGTCTGTATGCACAGAGATTCTTGGGGAATCCAAAAACCCAACCCCATTTATCCATCTGCACTCTTGAGCCTCATCCTTGTGCAGTGGGACGCTGACCCAGCTGGGGCACGCGCCCCCCACAGCCCCAGTAACCAGGCAATGATTATTCTTCTGGAGGTGCCCCAGCAAAACCTGCCAAATGCTGATGTTGTGCAAAACTGAAAATTGCACCGGTGCTGAGGGGGCTGCCTAATTACAGCACTATAATTAGATAGGCGGATGGGCAGATTTCCTCTGGCCGCTACCTGGCGGGATGGGACCTTGCAGCCTTACACATTCTCCCCTCCAGAGCCAGCTCGAGGCTGGCTGTGCTGCATGTGCTGGAGCTGCCACGAAGGAGCATGGTCACTGTTTCTGTGCCTTCCCACACTCTTCAGTCTACGAGCAGGGCACACAGCTCCCCTGCTGCCCTGGGGCTTGGCTCCGAGCTCCCTACTAACAATGCTATGGTTTTTCCATCTCCCCATCTGTCCTGTAGGTAGGATCAGAAATCAACTGGAGGAAACACTAAGTTAACAGGGTAATAAGCAGGGTTGTTCAGGGGATGGATGCCACCATGGAAAGGGGCAGGGAGGCTGGCAGCTTGGAAATGTAGGAGCATGAGGCTGTCTCTGCACTCCCTTGGCCTCGCTGCCCCTACTCCATGCTGCAGCACGCCAACAGGACAGAGGAGACTGGGGCTCAGCTGGAAGAAGCCACAGCCCATCTCTGGAACTTGGTGACACTCTCAAAATCCCAGGGACAGTGAGCCCTAGTACAGAGATGTGTCTAGAGTCCCGACCTCAGCCTCCATGCCTGCCCTGAAATAATTTCTTCATTTACTGAAAACACAGAAGGGAGGAAAAAGTGCAGCCTCTCGGAGTTCTCTGCTGGAAGAGCCACAAACTATTCCTGTTCCATCTGCTTTAATGTCAGGTGCTCGCACAGCAGCGGGTATTTCGCCGGCTCCTCTCTGATCACTCTCAGACAGGGCAGGTTTCCATCAGAAGCTATTTGACAATTTGTCTTTAATGAAAGACCTGGCACATTACATCGCTATTTTGCTGTGAGCCTGTTATGTGGCAGCCTCAAATTCTAATTGCTCTGGCTCCTTTTAATGTAGACTCACAATGTAAGGCTTGTTCGTAGTACTAAAAAGGGAAGGGACTTCCCTTTCCTGTAACTTGTGCTCTAGTTCTGTTTCAGGTTTATCTTGTCAGGATCTGGCATTTCTACCTTTTTAAGGTCTACCTTTTTTAACTCTGATCTCCTCGCTCCCCCCTCCAATGTACTTGCTGTTTTGAAAACAAAATGAAACAAAAAAGAAAAAAGAAATAAAGAAAAAATACAGAGACAGAAGTGATAAATTTTGCTCAGGCGAATATATCCTTAAGTAGTTCACTCCTCTTCCCAAAATAGACCCTGTCCCACACAGGCTGTCTCCAGCTCCCTGCCCAAGTGGTGGTGCTTTGCTGCACCTGCAGTCCCTTCCTTGCACCTCCAGCAAATTCACTTAGGTGGTAACTCCTTGGTTCCTTCTTTTCTCCATCTACTTGGTATCAAATGGAGATGGTGGCATTAGAGAGCCAGAGTGCCTCTGACTGAAGGAAGGATTTCTGCTCCTCTGTGCTCAGTGCTGTACAAACAAACCCAGGGCAGGAAGATGCACCCTGCCAGGCTCTGATTCAGCTCCCAGGGAAGCCCATTGCTGGCTCCAGTGCGGGCAAGAAAAACTTTGGGATAGGAAATTTCTTGAGGATTTCAGTGTGATCTGACCTCCTAGTCTAGAAGTTTTCTAAACTGCATTTTTTTAGTAGTGGGCATGAAAGGAAGGATGCAAGCAGGAAAGGTTAGATGAAAAATAGCAGTGCCCAGCTCTGTTATTTTATGATTGCAAGAGGCTCTTCTGTCTTCAGAAGAAATGGAAGGAAAAAAAGAAGGAAATAATAGCATGCGTCTTCAGTGGCAGCCCAGCACAAAGGATGATGTTAGCCACAGTTCAGGTACAGTGGACATCAGTCACGTTGGCCACCACATGGCTGTGGGTGCCAGGACACATGTGGGGAAGGTGCTAGACCTGGGCTTGCGGCTCCTGTGCCAAAGGAGCAACGTTTGCAAGAACTATTCACCTGTGCCTTGCCAGGAGGCAAAGGAGAGAAGTTCCTCTTGCCTATGGTAGCACCGGCTGGGGTGACTTGTATTCATGGGACATGTAATGGGATTGCATGTCTTCGAACCCTCGGCTGAGGTCCTGGAATTTTTCTGCTATGGTACCTAAGGAAAGAGAGGCAGAAGGGCATTAAATAAGATCCACTGACCAACATGGGTTTTCCTGACAGTAGCATCATGAAGGATCTTTTGTAACACTGAATTTCTGATGTCATGGAAGACATTTTTACTCCATGGTGAAAAATTACATCAATCTTTTCCTCGCATCCTACCAGCTCTGTAGGGGCATAGCAACCCCAACCAGAATTAGAGGTGTGAGCACTGTCTAGTCTTGGATTCCATCCACATACCAACAAAGCCAACTGCTGATTGTCTGGTGCTAAAAAAAAAAAAGCAAAACACATTCAGGCTTTTATTTTCCAGCAACACTTTTGTTTTTCCTCTGAAAAAGACAAAACAGAAAGGGTCCGTTTTATTAGGATACCATTTGCTGTTGAGAAAAGATATTAGGAAAATAAGCAAGCGGTGCCCAGCTTATGACCTTGTTGTCCACACGAAGATGAATGACCCAAACCTGCTCAATCCCTGATTATGCACCAGCTTCCACTGGAGAAATGTGTTTGTTCACTTTCACTGGGTGGACGCAGAAAGGCAGATCACGAGACAGGCCAGCAGAGAGAGAGAGATGAAAAAGCGAGAGCAGCCCGCTTCCAGTAAATGCTCTCAGACTCACATTTTCATTAGTCCTAAATTCAATCACAGTTTAAAGGAAGCAAAAGATAAAGAGCTAGGGAACATTTAAAGGATTCTTCAGAGGGAGAGAGGCTTGCTTCACCATTAAAAACCTGACTAGAAGTTATTGTTATTATTCTCAGTGCCGCTGTGCCCAGAGGCCTCAGTCAAGATGAGTTTCCCATTGTGCATGTGTTCGAGGGGGGCTGCACGCATCGGCTGCTGTGTGGCACCGCTGGAAGTGGGCACTATGAGAGCTGCTGCAGTCCTGCCAGGAGCTCAGCACCCAGCAAGGGGCTCTGCTCCCCATTTTCTGCAACTTAAGTAGGTATAAGTGACAGAGGGGTTAAGCCAGTACAGTAATGGCATCAACAATAGCAATGGCAATAAAGCAAGAATTATTATTATCATCACTGTCTTTGCAAGGGAAAGATGCTGAGGGGATGCTGAGGAGTCTGGAGCACCCGGCTTCTCACCACTGCTCTGCCCAGGTGCCCCTGTGGGGCTGGGGCTGGGGCAGATCGCTGCCTCTCTGCTTGCCCTCACTTTCTCTGCATTCAGGCTAAAAGCCTCTCTTTCTGACGTCCTGAGCACATTGGGTCACTTCAAAGCACAGTCACCTCTGTACTCCTGGGCGGCAGTGCAAAGGAGCTGGGCTCAGACTGTCCAAGTTGCTGATGGGTTGGAAAATTGGCCAAAGAGCCCTGCGGAAGTCACTATAGGAGCTTTCAAGTTTAGCCCCCAGGATTAAAACTGCAGCCCCTGAAACCTTTACCAGCATCAGACAGGAAATCAGTGGCAGAAAGCAAACCCTAAGATTCTTGTGTCAGGCTGGTTTGTCAGCCTTGGGCTCCAGAAGACCTTTGATGATCCCTCCCAGTCCTTGGTCCCACCCCAACATCAGATGCACGTCACCAGCATCGCAGCAGCTCAGCCACGAGCCACACTCCGAGGTGCTCTTCACCAGCCCATGCCTTACACATCCTCCACCATTCAGATTGTTAGAGAGTTGGCATTGGGGTCCCAGCAACAGAGGGACATCCTAAGGCTCTCGGCATGTCCTGACACCCCTACAAACCAACGTGACCCTTGAGGTTGCAATGTGGCTGTCTGTTAGATCCAACTGACCACCGAAAGCTCTGGGATGGTCAAACACGTGCCTGATAGACCAGTCCCACTGCCTGTTGGCATTTCTGTAGTTTCCAAGGAAACCTGGTGCTTGTGAGAGAGGACAGACAGATGGGTAGTGTTTGACAAAGGAATTCTGTGATGCTTCACTTTTAAACGACTGTTGCTGCTACCTCCTCGGCCTTTGCCCCTTTGAATGTGAGCTGTTGCTGCTTTGCACAGATGGGGCTTTCATGGGAAGGAGTGGGAAAATCCCAAAGCTCTCACGTGCCTGTTGCCCTTCCTTCCCTGCTCTCCACAGATGAAACAAACAAAACAAAACAAAGAAGCTGTGGCAGCTGGGGCTGCTTCTAATTTTAACGAGGTTTCACCTTCAAAGGAGCATCCGTCGCTGAGCGGCAAAGAGCAGCGTGCACCGTTCAGAAGCAGTTTTGCGGGGACGCACAAAGAATCCTGCCTCTGAACCTCTGACAGCTTTCACTGCACACAGCAGAGATCAGCTGGAAAGATTTATTAGCCAACTTCAAAGCCTGAATTGCTCAGGAAGCTTTTGCTCTTGCCTTATTACTGGAGAACTCTCCAGGTCAGAAACCTTTACTGGGGAAGAAGGGGTTTTTCTTTGGCTGTTTTGTTCTACTGCTTCTGGATGTGCGAATCTAATGACATGACTAATGTCTTCCAGCTTGATAGACATCAGTAAAAACAGATGGGAGAGGACTCAGGGATGTCTAGACTGAGATTTGTCTTGAAAATGAAGGCTGGACCCAGTCCCTAGATAGCAGAGTGCAGACCACACTGCGCTGGGCACAGAGTGCATTCCCCTCTCATTTCCTGCACAGAGAAGCGCAGGTCAGCCCCAGCAGCCCTCTTGCTGAATGCCAGCAAGGTGCTGATGATTCATTGCAGAGCAACAAGTTGCCAAGACAGAGGAGGTATCTGCAGTGACACCAGGAAAAAAGATAAATGGAATAGCATGGAATGACAAAGGTCCTTCAAACACATCCCAGTGGTGGTTGCAGAGCACAGGTCTGTCTGAGATGGCCTGAGGTCCGAGCAGGCTGGTGGTCAGTGCAATACCCTGCCAGCTTGTCCGTGTTTTCCTCAGGAAGGAAATAACATGAATATAAATCAGACCTCGGTTTGTAATTTTCTGATTTTCCTTTGTTCCTATTTTCGTTAAAATCATGTTTTTCTGAAGTGACTTAGAAGCCCCTCTTCTGCCCATTTTCAGGGGAGTTGGGAAGATCAATGACAAGGAAAAGCTGCACGTGCCACCAGTTGCCTGCTTCTGTGGTCACTGAGGTAATTGTGATGTCAAGACCTTGGGAATTCAGCCTTTGGACTCCCTTTGAAATGGGGACTTTGTCTCTTCAGTCATTTTGGACTTTCAACACCCTAAGACTGTAAAGAGAAATAATCCATTGGAGTGTAAACTGGAATCTTTAGAGTTTTATCTTTGTGCTTAGCATTTGTGACTGGACCCTGGCAGTATTTATTAGTCCCTCTTCACAGCCTCACTCTTTCTCATTGAGTCACGTGGACAATATTAAATGGAAATTCATTCTGTAAACTCTGCCCTATTAGGCCTGAAGCCTTGGGGATCAGAGCAGGCTGTAATTATGGCCTTTAGGTGTGAATTACCACATGCTGAATTAGCAGATAACTGTAACAAGGTAGGTGAGCAGGTCTCTAATGTCAGGGATCTGAGGAAGGCTGGGTCCTCTTATCACAACAGCCCATTCAAGAGAGTGGCACTGCCCACCTCTTGCTTATCTGTTGCCTTTGGAGCTAGGGAGGATTACAGAATGCCTCTCTGGAGATAGGGCTTTGTCAGATGGCTCTTGTTAATCAGCCAGGACTGATGGGCTTGCAATAAAAGCGTGATCATGGGCATCACCACAGGAATCACCACTCCACCTAAGCCACTGCGCTATCAGATGCAGCCAGGGCCATGGGTCTCATTAGAGAGTGCAGAATCCCCTGAGCAGGCTCCATTTGTGGGGCTCTCTGTTCAGTCCTGCTAGGTTTAGGGCTCTCTTTGCTCTGATAAGGAACTATCAATAGCTCCTTAATCCTTAAGGTGCCTTAATCCTTTCCGGGGCAGTGTGGATTTCCTTACCTAGACAATGGGGAGGCCGCTCTCCAAGGCCTCTCTCAGTGAAGGACCGTGGCAGTGAGTTCCACCCCTCACGTTGCAGCTGCTTAAAATCCTTTCCCTATAAAATGGGGTAAAAGGAAAAGACAGAAGTGTGATCTGAACTCCAAAAGCCAGAAAAGACCAAATTAATCTCCAGCATCAAAAGAAGCCACAGAGTGCAGCTGATCAAAACCCACCACCAAACCACCATTGGTTTCCAAATTCAGCTTTTAGGAACTTCACAGGTTTTTCTCCTGTCAAAACAACAAGCCCAGCTCCGAGTCCCTTGATCCTCAGACTAACTCTTAGGCCCCTGAACCTTCATGGTTGTTGTGGCCATCCATGCTTCACTATAACAGACTGGTCAATGCTTTATTTTCCAAGGAGTTCCGTGGTGCTGCCTTGTTCTCCACAAGGTGCAGAGGTAAACTCCTTCCCCTCAGGAGAGGGACTTCTTTCCAGCCTGCTTTTCATCCTCCAGCACAGGAGAACTGACACTCTTATTTCACTGTATTTGTGCTTCAACTACTGTGGGACTTCTGGCAGTTCCTCCACCTTCTCGCCAGTGTTGCTTTAGGGCCTGGAGAATACATCTCACCGAGCATGAGATGTGGCACCTCAGGATGTGAAAGCCAAGCCCTGTGACAGACAACATCGAGATGAGGCCTTTTGACTCCAGCAGCCTCCTGGTGAGGTGTGATCCACCCCTGCCATCTCCACCAGCAGCTGCTCTGAGTTTTGCCAGGCAACATTAACGAAATTTTGCCTATTTACCTCCATCCACATGGGATATTGTAGCTCTGGAGGTCCCCTGTCAGCCCCCACGGGGCCAGCCAACCCTGCCTCCGTAGCAGCCTTTCCCTAGGACTGAAAATGTTGATTCAGTACCACGGAGTGTGTGCATCTCTAGGGGGAGAGAGGCAGACACACACACCATGTCCTGACTTTAAATGCATGAGTAACTTATCAGAGGTGATAAATGGGGATTTGAATTCCGAGATGTAACTTATCTCTAAATACATATCTTCCTATTTAGCTGCGTTTACATCCGCCCGTATCTCACTGACTGCAATGTGCCTTATTATATAGCAGTGCTTCCTTTGATGTTCTGAAAGGCTGTTTGTGCTAGTGATGAGAAAAGCAAGGTAGAAGCAGGCTTTCCAGTGCTGGAGTTTTCTGTTGCATTCTCCTTTTGACTGTCTTTCATTTAATGCGTCTAATAAATGGTAGTTTACCGGAATCAAAGAATTCAAAGCTTCTGTTCTTGGTGATGAATACAAGGAATAAGAGGCTTTTATACCCTGTGAAATCTACAGAAAGACTGAGATATGGGGACAGCTTTCCTATACATGTCTCGTAAGTGAGTGCTTATCCTGAGATAGATGCAGTGATCTCTGCAAGAAAATCAACATTTCCAAGCAAGCACGGTGCTGGCACTAATGCTGAGAGGAAGTGGAATCTCAGCATCTCAGAGCCCATTGTGTGCTGACCTGAAAAGCTTTTCAGCGCAGTCACGATGGGATTTTTCAGGTATAATACAGATCCGGCTGCTGTTTTTCATTGGTTACAGATGAGTGTTTAATTTAAAGGGGGTTTGAAAGTCCACAGACATTCCCCCTTCACCCCCAACCCTTGGCATGAACCCTGTTGAAGTGAGATATCTGAAGCTGAGCAGGAAAGGATCATCAGAGCTGCCTTGGGGAGAGCAGAGATCTGGAGTCAGTGCTCGTGGTGGGAGCTGGTCAGGGTCACCAGCAACTCCGGAGACCTTCGTTTGCTTGGTACAGCTTGGGCCTGAGCTCGGTCACATCGCCCACAGCCAGCAGGGACATACCCAAGGGAGAAATGCTCACTCCTTCCTCTCATTTAAGCTCAAAGCTTATCGTGCAACTAATCAACAGAGAGAGCTGAGAAAGCAGGAACATTACCCCTCTCATTGCACAAGAAGAGGCTCAGGTTCAGGGCTGTTGTCCTGATGGGAGCAGGGTGTTGTTCCCTGCTCAGGTCTCAGTCCCTTGTGCCTTTGGACACTTAGTCCCGCTGGCAGAGCTGACCCCAAACTGCTCCTGCCTCCTGGGTTCTCACCCAAGCAATGTCCCACAACACTGGTCACAGTCACCCCCTTGAGCACCTACCTGGCCTTCACACTGCTGTGCCGGATCGAGCGCTAGCTGGGCTGCTGAGCCACCCTGGCATGGTGCAAGCTGTCCCAAGAAACAGCCACAAATCCCAGTGCAGCGCTTCAGGGATTCAGCATCTATCTCCCCTGAGGTGGGGGAGAGAAGTGGATTCGGTCACCTCGTGTGGTTGATTTGGTGCGAGGAGCTGGGCACAGCTGATTTTGTCCTGATCGGTCTCAGGGGCAGGAACAGAGACTGCCTGACCACACTTGGGTAAAACTCGCAGGAACCTTCCCAAGGCGGAGGGAAGTTTGTGGCATCCCTGTATTTCTCATTCCTTACATAATTAACTTGGTTCATTTATCCTAAGTTTAATTTTACAACAGGAAAATAGTTGGGTTTCTCTATAGATAAATGAACGGCTGGGTGGTGTTTTTTATGAACCTTCTCGGTGAAACATGCCTTATAAATTATTTCCTAGAGCAAGAGAATTTGCACATTTAAAACAAAAAGAAGGAGCTGAAGAATTAGTATTGGCTCCTTTGCAGCTCTTGTTTGTGTTCATGCGCTGAGGGCTTTGTCTCTCTGCCGTACTTTCCACTGACTCCAGATTACCGCCTCAAAGCACAAAAGCATTAACACGGCAAGACTCCTTCTTAATAACTCTGCAGAATTGTTCTGCAAATGAACAAAGATAATGTTGGCCTGACAGGTTGAGATTGGGCGGCTGATGAAGGCTGGGGCTGGGAAGAGAGATTTCTCCGATAAACTCCAGCATCAATCGGAGAGAGCAGCTGGAAAAAGAGTAATAAATATATTTTCTCCTTTTACATGTCGTAAGTTATGAATATGAAGCTTCAGCCTCTTTCCATTACAGCATGAAGCGAGTCACTTATCCTGAAGCTATCTTGTTTCAAGCTTCCGCCTGCTGTAGTTATTCAGCAGAGGAGCATCACGCAGCATTGCAAATGTCAGCCAGAGCTGATTCTTACAGCTCTCCGCCTTTCCCTGGGAAAGTTGCTACCCAGAGACTGCAAACACTCGGCTGAACCGCTTGTTTCATTCGGTGGTGTTTTTTGTGGCCAGGATTCAAGGCGAGTTTTGACTTGGACAAACAGACTGTGCCACAAACTGAATGATCAAAACGGAAGGAAAGGGAAAAGAAAACGCATGCTTTTGAAGTACCTGGTGCAGCGGTCTGTTTTCTCAAGCCTAATGCTTTTCTTTACACTGGCAAAAAATCAGGGAAAAGGTTTGCTTGGCCTTACAGCAAAAACAGTGGCCAAACTCTCCATCCCCCAGCAGTGCAGACACAAGAGCTGCCTGAAACTCCAGGACATGCATAAAAAAAATACATACATACATACATACATATATATATATATATATATATATATATATATATATATATATATATAAGGTGCACATCAAGAGCAAGTGTTCACCAAGAGATAGCTGTAACAGAGGACAGCTGGTCTACTAAATCCCTCTATTTATTGAGAACTTCTCTCTTTTCCCAGCTCACCTGTGCCTGTAGGCATTTGCTGACCTGAAGAAATGAAAAGCATCTTCTGCTGGGGCTGTGTGGGTTGGGGCTTTTTTTTTTTTTCTTTAAAAATAGAAAAGACAAGCTCAAGATAAATTTTCTGACAGGAAACAGGAAATCTACCAAAATAGTGACTGATGTATTTTCTGTTTTATCAGATATTTGGTCTGAAGTCAGAGGTGATCTGTAAGTACCTCCACATCTGCGGGACACTGGGTGAAATGCTCCTCAGAGTATTCTGCATTACCCCATGGGCACAGCAAGTGCCTCAGTTTCCCCAGCTGGTCTGTGGCTGCCTTGTGGTGGAGGAACGCCATAATATCTTGTATTGGGTGAAGGTCATCAAAGAAGTCAGAAAGAAAAAAAAAAAAATCTCTCTTGGAAGAGTGTAGGGGAGGCAGAGAAAACAAGGAACGGTTCAGCCAAGTTCTGAAGGAAGCAATGATCATGCCTGAAAGATCCTCTTTGCTCTGGAATTGGTATTTTATCCCAGAGAAAAGGAAATTAAAATATCAACTGGTTCTGGTGACGGTCTCTGCCAGGCCCACACCTCTTCAGGAGAGAGATGTGAAAGCATAAGCTGTAGGGCGTGGAGAACCCAGCTGCTGGCTGTGGCTTTCTGCTAAATATCACAATTGGTTTTTAAGTCTCATAGCATAAAGCTCTCGTTCCTGAAAGCGTCTGATTACAAGAGAATTTCTTCTCTCATTACACGGAAAAAAAGCAGCAAACTCAAAGCTTTCATGTATGGGTGTAGAAAAAAAGCTTGGCTACTTCATTCAAGTAGACTTATAAGGGTTTAGAAACCAAAGAAAACGCAGAGAGCAGACAATATATATTGTTTCAAAAACTTCATGATTTTCTGAAGTTTGATTCTTTCTTTTGTGCAATTCTCTGTTCTGCAAAACCGAGCCCATTTTGCTTGATTTCAGCCAATTAACCCCAACATACCTCTTGCATTTGGCCTGACTGCCCAGCACAAGTCCATCCCTGGAGACTCAAGGCAAAGCAAAAGTGGTTTTGTTGCTTTACCTTTTCTGTATAAAACAGAAGCTTTGAGCAACAGTTAAGACCAAGTAATTACAGACAGATATATAGCATTACAATTCAAACCTGCACTGTAATGGCTCCATAAAGTCACCTAGGTTTAGATATACATCAAACCATTTTTCACATTGCAAATGAATGCTTTTTAAGAGCTATAACTTTCTGGGAGTTCATGAATTTCCGGGATTCATAGCGCTCTACTAGATGGAGGAAGGCACAAGAGAAACTGCAGTGCAGAAAGAAAAAGGAAGGAGAGCGGCAAAGGGAGCTGAAGCAGAGAAAAAAATAAATCCTCAGAGATGAGATTTCGAAAAGCTGCTTGAAAAAAAGCTGGATAATGTATGACATACCCTATAAATACCACTTTGCTTTATCACCCCTCCTCTTTCCTAGCCATACCCAAAGATTTTGGGAGCCTAATCTGAAATATGAAGCCTTTAATGGCCAAGAGCATGCAACTGTGTCCTCTACCAGTGCTGGAGTCCTTGTTGGGGATGTGGGTAGCTGGGTTTGCAGTTCCCAGGCTGTGCCCACACCTACGTGTGTTGGCCACACTCTGTCTTGACCCTGAAATAAGGCAGATGCTGAGCACCTGCACACTGACCATGTCCAGTCCATGAAGCATTTCATGGACTCTCCACCCCACAGAGGCTACCGATGAGCTGAGACAAGCACCACAGTCCTTACATTATTTTTAAGAGTTTGGGGGACTGTAGAAGTGATAGCTAAATTAAAGCATAGGTAATTTTCTGCTTCCCTCCTTCTAGACCCGCTCTCAGTCTGTGCTACCTACCATGTCCTCCTGTCCCCATGACCTGGTGGCAGCAGAGCACGGTGCTGCTGAGCAGAGGGCCAAGACTTCTTCCTTTCAGACCAGATGGATGATGAAAGCCGGCTATTATTTCTGCATTTTTAAAGTGAAAGGGCACCGATATGTATTGTTCATGCTGTAATTTCCTATCCCAAAAAGCATTTTCAACCAGGACAATTTTGGCAATTAGGGGAAACCTCAGAGAAGGACAAAACAGACATCTCCATGCCCGAGGAAGCGCAGGGTGTGTGACTCATGTCGTACCATCCCGCTGGAGTTGAGTCATTGTGTTGGCAATACTGCACAAGAGCAGCAAACTGTCTTAAAACTGAGCATACTGTGTGCTACATATCAATGGAAGTGCTTTTACTCCTTTCTAACATTCCCTTAAATTCTCCTCCACCCTGTTGGCTAAACCAGCAAATCCATCTTTCTCATGGAGCTAAATCAAGATTAAGGGGGCTTGATAGGTAATTATTTTTAATTATAATGTGCTTTTTTTTTTTTTCTTTCTGAGTTACAGACATTGGCTTGCTATTCTCACACAGGGTTGGGAACTGATTTCCTGCTGATCTCAGTGAGGAGCACAAGCCTTCGTGTCTGAAGGGAACAGAACCGTCTTCTCTTTACAGATACAGCTTGAACCATACCTGCTTTATGAAGCCAGGACCTGGGGAAAACACATGCCTGGGAACCCTCGTGGGTGCTGCAGGGAGCCAGCAAGGGCTTTCATCTGCTGCTGCGAATTTTGATTTTTCTAAATTCTAATTTGCTTAACTAAGAAGAAAGTCTTTCACCTTCTTCTAGGGCCATAATTCGCTCCCTGGGGCTGGTAGTACTTTTTCGAACATAATGTGGGCTATTTTCTATTGTCAATCGACAAACTAAGGAGACAGGCAGAGAAAAAGAATCCCGCAGAGGCATAAAACTAAGATAAACAGGTGTGAACAGGTAATGTATGCTGATATGGTGAATGCACTCAAATCTGTACATTTAACAGACCATGGCAATAGGCATCTATCTTTCCCCCTACAGCTTTTTCTAAATGTGCCCCAGTGTCCCAGGAAGAACATTGCTTTTCATGGGAGGGCGTGTAATGAAATGCCCTCATCCTGTTTTAATCAGTTTTGAATGTGGAAAAGACAATCATGATCTGAGAACGGCAGTGTTTCCCTTGCATGTGAATTATGTGATACTGTAGCTTCATTAACATGCTTTACAGTCTTATCTTTATTCATACTGGCAAATTAAATTAGCACTGTCTTTCAAATCTCTGTCTATTTTTCCCCCTAGGCAACCACCAGCAGCACAAAATAAATGACAGTAACGGGAGTGGATTGCTGTGCTCTTGACGCTAGTCCCTGGATTTTAAGCAAGCATCCCTCCAAGAAATCATATTTGTTCTTGTTCCAAGAGATGAGCTGCGTTACGGCACGCTTGTTGCAACTACAGAGCTCCACATACTGGCACGGGACCTAGGCCGGCACATGGGGCACCAGGCTGGCCACGTGGAGCCCCAGTGGTCCTTCCCTCTTTAGTCTCCCCGAATTCAGGCTGTATTTTGAGATTTGGGCAGGTGCTCCCTTTGTCCCTTCATGTGCCTGTCCCTCTGTTGGATCCTTTGAGGTTTTGATAGCAAAGCACAAAGCACAGTTATGGTGAGGATGGAAAGTCAGAAGCAGCGAAATTCTGGCAGCACAGGCTGGTTTTGCTGGGTGGGAGGTTTTTCTTCAGCTGATGCTGAAACATGGATAGGAAGGTGTAGAAAGTCTGTTGCTAACCTAACCCCAGCTGTTCGGGGGGCTGTTTAGAGGAAGCATCTTATTGGGAATGTGTAAAAGGTGGGAGGAGGTGGATAAGACTTTCTCCACCTCTGTCTTCAGCGTGCAGCTACCTGAGCTGAGGCCTGGAGTGGATTTGTCAGCTCTGCAGTCAGGCATAAATGGAGCTTCATAACTTTGCAAGTGCAAAGCATTAGGAGTAAGTGATTTTACATTAAACACTAAATATTGCAGCTATTAAAGAACATTCATCATCCACACAAGGTGCCTGAACAGAAATGAGCTGTAGCATCTCCTGCAACATTGACTGTAAACACATTAAAAACCATCCCGGTGCTGTCAGTCACTTGAATTTCAGAGGGGAGGCCTGGCTCTCCGGGGAACAACAGCTCACCAGCGGTGTGAGGTGACCTCAGAGCCACAGTACCACCAAACCCTCCGCTCTTTAGCTCTGTCCCTGGCTGTGGTGCCCCAGAAGGGAGCATCCTTTGATGCTGCCATCCCCATGGGAGCAGGCAGCAGTGAAAGAGTAGGCTACGAGATGCCACCCGGTGTTATGATCAGCAGCAAATGGCCACCTCGCTGTTGCTCCTAGCTGGCTTGTACCACAAAGATATAAACCCCAGGCAATGCTGTGCAATTACTAGTGATGGAGATTATGGGGACACTGCAGCCTTCTTCTCCGATCTCATGTGAATAAATCCCGGAGACTTTGTTCCCTTTTCCTGAGCAATACCTCTGGGCTGTATGTTGTTAGCACCCATCCCGAGAGATGGCCCAAGCCTCCGAATTAACAAAGTTTTCATTTCCTTCTGCTTTCTGACCCCAGGTCAGCCAAGACCAGCCATGCATTGTGCTGGGAAGATTGCTCAGTCCAAGATGGTGCTTCAGATAAGAGTTTGGATGATTATGATTAATATGAGTGCTTTATTTGTCTGACAGGTGGACTGATAAATAGATATTGTTGCTAGGACTGCATTCCTTCCTGGTATGATAAACAGTACAGACAGCCTGAAACGCTGGTGCTTCTTGGAGATCCGTGAAACCAGAGGTCAGGGCAGCGTGTACCTTGCCCTTTGATTGTACTTGGATAAAGGACTTCAGTCCTTTAAGTGAACAGTGATGATTTCATCACGACCTGACATGTCCCCAGTTTCCAGTAAGGAAAACAAACAAAACCTCACAGTTTGAGAATACAGCCCAGACATGCTGAATGCTCATAAAAGGGCAGAATCCACAGATCCAATAGAAAATGTATCTTAAAATGTCACCAGAAACTGTTATGATCTTTGGTGAGATTCTTTTCCCCCTTTATCTGATCTGCATTTATTGTTCTTTCTGTCTTCACCTTACAGGAACAGAAGAAATTTTGGAATTTGTCCTCAAGCAGATACCGTGCCTGAAGCTGCCTGAACTCCCCATGGCTGCTGCGTTTCCCATGAACCAGGTGGGCACATTTCCTTGCTCTTCTGATCCTTCCACAGCTCTCTTGGCCATCCCACAGCCAAGAGGACACCCACGGGCTCAGAGCAGGGAGCACACCACCAAGCTTTCAGCTTCAGCCCTGAAAACCTTGTTGCTGCTCTCCACATCCCTGCTCCATGCCATGCACCCCTGCATTACCAGGACTCACCAACCTCCTCCCTGAAGCCCTGGCCGATGTTTTAACCACCCTCTCCCTTGAAAGGTTTATAAACCCTTTGCCAGCCCTGCTGCCTATTTGCTGCTGGGCTGGCTGCTGCTGGGCTGGCTGTGCATGGGGACCAGAGGTTGGGAAGGTCTTTTTGCAGATTGCGTCAGGAATATGCATAAGGGAATCTCACAGTGATTTCTAGAGCCTGCTAATCTGTATAACTCAGACTTCAGAGAAGATTTGTGATGCTCATTATAGCTTGCCTATCTTATTGGAGCAGCTCATTCACTATAGGCTCTTGCAAACGTGTCTGGGAGCCTCCCATTTCTTAATGAATTTTTCCGCCTGGTAGTGGAGGGAATGCTGATATTTCATTGCACTGAGCAGGGGTGTCTGGAGATGGAGATGGATGGAGCTCTGTCTAAGGAGACAGCTAAGTGAGGGAAACCTGGAAGTCTGCAGCAGAGCTTGGGAATCTAGCAAGACTAATGTGCAAACACAGGCACTGTTCTCCACTCAGGCCATGCATCATTGCCCGTTGTCAAAATGTGAGCTGATTTAGGTACTCTGTATGATGAGGAATAGGTCTTCTCAGCCATAATTAAGTTGGTGTGTGTTTTTTTTTTTTTTCCTGAGGTTGATGGCATCAAGATGAGATCAGCTTTCACCTGTTGTGTGTTCCTCTCTATTGACCTCTAAAGCTATCTAGATGGCTGGGTCAGATGTACAAACTGAGACTGGGATAAATGTGTGCCAGATGAAAACCCCCAAAGCACAGGTGGGATTTTTTGCTCTGATGTGCATCTCACTCCATGCCTTGGGGCCAGCAGGAGTCTGAACAAGCTGAAGGCTTTTAGCTAAGTAGCTTTAGCCAAGTTCAGGCTCTTTAGTGCTGTCTGGCCACTAGAGACAAGAGACATGTCCTCTCCTTTCTCTGATTAGTTAAGGGTGTTAGTAGCTTAGCTCTGAGGTTAAATAGCTTTTCAGCAAATGTTGGAAGAATGAAAGGTTCCTGTTTTTCTAGGAGCTCTGTTGAATACCGAGCACTCTCCAAAGGTGATGCTGCTGCTTTTAAGAAAAGGAAAAATAAAAAATAAAAATAAAAAATCTAAGGCACTGGTGATTGCCCAAGGAGTAAATTAGTGTACTTTTGGAGTTAGACAAAGCTTACCAGGGTCTGGCCTTTCTGGCCTGCCCATACCACCAGTTAGGCTCTCTGGAAGGGGTTGGGTGATGGGGAGAGGTGGGCAGGTTAATACCCTGTTACTGGCTTGTTACCACCAGGTTTAGGATAAGCTTAGTTGCTTTTTGCTCTTTGAACAGCTGAGTCTCCCCCTGTGATTTGGCTTTAAGGGGAGATTTAAGTGTTCAAAAGCACTATTTACATTTCAAAAACTGATCAGGACCTGGTGTGAGATCAAAGTGGAAAGTGGGGTTTAGGTGTATTGATCAGATGCCCAGGATGCTGGGGCTTTCTGCCTTCCTGTACCTTGTAAAGGATCAAACAAGAGTTTGGAAATATAAGAACTGTCAGCATGAGTTTTCTTTTGTAGGTAGGAAAAGCTTGTAATCCCAGGTGTTTCAGTGCTTACCTCAAAGAGAAATAATTGAGCTACTTCCCAGGTTAATTAGCAACTACACCTGACAGGGTCCTCATCCCTTCCTGCCCAAGCCTCCTTGTTGAAATGCTGATCATTTACCAGTCCTGGCAACCAAATCTGGTTCATTGGTGGAATTCTTTTGTTCTGAGCTCACGTTTTATACCAGCACTGCTCTTAGGCATAGCTGGAGCTCAAGCCAGTATCCTTCCCTAGCCACAAGAGGCCAGCCACCAAAATTTGGATGGGTATGAGACTGGTGGCCCAGTGGGATTGCACTAAAATGAAGCCTCTCCAAGTGACCTGCAAGGGAGGAAGCTGTCCAGCAGTATGTGAGCAGCCAGTTTTGAAAGTGTGCTTTCATCCTGTGCTTCATCCACTGTGCTGATACAGAGGAGAAGGGTTGGGGCTCCTCTGGTACATATCAGACTGCTGATTTTCTGGCCTGAAAGCTTGGCAGGGTGATACTGATGGATGTCAGGTTACAACACCTGCATGGCCGTCAACAGCAGGCAGCTTTCTGCCTTAGCCAGCAGTGCTGGAAGAGGCCAGCAAACAACCTTGCATTCCCTTCTGTTGTGGTAAGCAATAATGCACGTTTAATGGAGTGCTGCTATTTCGCACGGGTAAGCCGATGGCACCCAGGCTTCAGCCCCTGGGCTTAAAACAGCCACCAGTGCATGCTCAAGCCTTGCTTTGCAGCGTGCTACTTTCTCTTTGCTGCATGCTCAAACAGCAACCACGGGCGTCTGGCAGCGGGAGGACTGCAGGAAAAGTCAGACAAAGCATTCAAGTCCTGCTCAGGTGGATTTTAGCCAAGCAAGAAACTGTTTGACTGAACCGGTGTGACTTATTTTCCTCCCGTAGTGAAATGACAAAGTCTTTTTCCTTTGTGCCAAGCTCCTCACTGGCTGTAATAAATTCCTGTGCAGAAGCAGAGCATGGCAGGGCAGCACCGGGGGGCTCTGCACCTCTCCCCGGAGCAGGAGATCTGTCGTGAGCTGTGTTATCAGAGTCGCTTGGAGCACACGCATGGAGAGAATAGCAGAGGTAATTGTTTAAAATCCTGCAAAATAACATGAATCTGAAAGCTGCTTTCTCTCCTGCTTGGCAATGAGTCAAAAGGCCATGCCTGTGTTATGGTGTACGAGAAGAAGTTTTCTGGGTATAAAGCAGAAAATACAACTGCAGGGACGCTGCTGTGATGCTGGGTGAGTGGCAAATGGTGCCAGCAATGCAGAGTGAAAGAGGGGAAAGGAGAATTTGTCATGACTCCTAATCAACAGCTACCAGAGGATGTTCTGGGAGAGAGGTTCACCTGAGAAGCTCTCGATGCCATGCAGAAACAATGCTGGTCAAAACTGGGATGGCTGCTACTCGTTAATGTGCTTTTTCAGGAAGGTGTGAGAAAGGCGAGTACAAGGACTGACAAGCTTCAATCCTCCTAAAAGCAGGAAGATGTGTCTGGTGCAGGGCTGGCTTGATTTGTTTTGGAGATGCTGGGCGGATGGCTCCTATTAGCTGTGCCCTGGGGGTTGATGCTCCCCGGGTCAGAGTCTCAGCTTGCAAGCCACAGTGGTCTGGTCTGCCTCTAAGAAAATGCTGCCAGTGTCACAGATAAATACAGCACTGTGGGCTTGGAAAAAAATATATATTTACTTGTGAAAGGCAGCAGCAGAGAGTTTACCTCCTTCTGCAGACTTTTCATTGTGGGAGTCCCCCCAGGGGATATGAAATTAAACTGCTGCCTCTGTCTCTCGCTGGATGAGCGTTGGCAGCAAGGCACAGAGGAGGACATCAGCTGTGCAGCGAAGGGCTCTCTCGCCACTGCCATCGTCTCCTGGGCTGCTTTCCTGCTGTGCAGCCACTTCCACCAGCCATGGACAAGTGCTCTCACAAACCACAAGCTCCGAGCTGCGGCACTGTGGCCGTGATGGGCACGGGGACAAAGCAGTATGGGGACATGGGGTGGATGGCTGGGTCACAGCCAGCTCATCCCAGGATGCTGGCAGCATCATTTCTGCTGCTGGAGCCAGTGATTAGAGACCCCTCAGTTCACACCGGGGGAGATCCCACCCCCCCATTGGTGACTTATAAATGTCCCCTGATAAATAAGGAGCTTCATCACCTTCTGCAAGACCCTGGTGTGACTTGGAGGGTCAGGTACTTGGAGGACAGTCCCTAGTGCTCCTGTGCTATGGGGCTAAGCAAGCACCAAGCCATTGGCCTCCCCTGCAACCACCCTGCCTGAGCCTCTGGTTTTGGGGTGGCCAGCCTGAGCTGTCCTCCGGGCTTGTGCTGCTTCCTGGAGGTGGTGAAGAGTTCCCAGCTCTCAGCTGTCTCCTGCGGAGCTGCTGAGTAATGCTCAGGCTTGTGGAATGGGCTCCCTGTGTGACTGGTCACCTAATCGCATGGCATGGTTCATTCCCTGGCTGGGTGATTGCCCAATAGCTACTCAGAACGACAGGCACTCGCACTGCATAATCCCAAACCCTTGAGATGCAGGGATTTACAAAAATAAATCTTTAGCTCTTGGAATGGTTTCTGTAACAATCACAGCATCGCAAAGCCTAAAGCCAGCCCAGCCCTTCAGCCTCTAATTGCGCGGATTTTGTCCCTGCTGTAACAGCCAGTAGGCAAGGACTTGCTGGTCACAGAAACAGGTAGGTGCCGTCTCACAACCACAATTAAATCAATCAAGCCATGCTGCAGGCAGCAAGCAAAGGTCTCAGTGTCTGAGCCCTGCAGCCTGAGCAGACACTTACCTGCCCGGTGCCGAGCCTGCTCCCCTCGTGCTGCACTCACCCTGCAGTGCTGCTCCCCGAGCCCCCTGCCCTCCCCCGCATGTGGCTTGTTTTCATGTAGATTAACGGGGACTTTGGGCTGTGGTTGAATAATTGATCAAACCCATCCAGGCTTTGCAGACTTGAACACAACATTTTACGAAGTTTCGTTCCCACACAGCACTTCAAAGTCGAGAGCTGTGCTGCACGCAGGCGTTTGCTGTCTGATCTTCTGGAGTCCTTAAGCTGTGCATCATTTTGTCAAATCTTGTTACGCTGGGCATGTTGTAATGATATGAATGCATTCAACAAGTGGTTTTCCCTTATAAAAGAAAGGACTGCGTGCTTTAGTCCCTTTTCAAATGGGTTCTTTTGGGTTATTTGGAGGATGTTGACTTCTCTTCATTTCAAGAAAACAAAACCTGAATCTCTAGCTGCAGTGGAGGACAAAGGTCTCTGGCTCCAGCACCAGCTGCAGAGGACACAATTTCAAGTCTGTTTTGCATGGCAGGCTTTATAAGGAGCCCACAAAGGATTTCAGGAATTTATCCTCATTCACCCAGCTGTGCTGCGTGGGGTGCATGCAGTCGTGTACAGGTGTGTTCACACACATGGCCATGTCCCTGGCAGGGGCCGTGGGGAGGGGGACAGGGTGGCAGCGGGTGCCCAAAGTGGCTCCTTGTGCAGTCTGAGCCATGAGGTATAGATGGGTCATGTATGTAGATGCATGTAATTGTTGAGGTCAGATATCTATAAATAAGGTCTAATGTAAACCAAAGAAACACTAGGAAACCTAGGCGTGAGCAACCAGTGCATTTTGCGTGCATCATTGCATATGTCTATGTATTTAAGAGCCACAGATTTGCACACTTGGAGGCTTTTATACCTTCTGTGTAATTCAGGCAGGGTCAGGAGTTTCATCCGGGTTCTGCAATGGAGGAGCCTGCAATGGGAAATTGGCAGTTGCCTGTATTCCCCGCTTAATCCCTGCGCTACCCTACAGCAGACCGAAGCTGCTTGTCCTCTGTGCCTTGATACAGGCAGGCATAAAGTGACCAGGTATTGTTCCCCTGGCTGCTGCCTGGGAGGCACACTGTAAAGGAGAAGAAACATCCTGGTTTTCTTTCTTACCTCATGCCGATCTTGCTTTTCCCCACCTACAGCCTCTGGTTAAGCATTAGGCTTAGATCAGTGGTGACTTGTTGTTGCTCTTTAATTCATGCAAATGTTCTTTTTAACTAGCTTGGAGTCTTAAACAGCCCTCTGGGGAACCTTTTGTGTTTATGATTATTGAAACAAAAGTTTATTTCCTTTAAGCACAGAATGACTAGGGAATAAAGGGAAAGAACCTGTTTTCTTTTCCTGCGTATACTGTAAGTGTAAAGGTCAGAACCAAGCTGACATAGCAGTGGGCATCGCAGCACTCTGAATTCCCCAGAACAAAATAAAGAAATGAATCTATAAATGATTTAAAATATATATTATATAATTAATATTAATATAATATTAATAATAATATATGTATAAATATATATAATATATCTAAATATATATATCTAATTATATGATAATGTATAGTAATATAATAGTAATATAATATTAATATAATGTATAGTAATTATTATTATAGGACTTGGCTTCCCGGTCATGCAGCAGCACAAGGTTTTACCTGTCTGTATCTGGGGCTGTAAAGGGCTCATGGTCCCGGTCCTGATTCCTTGTGCAGTCCCAGTCCTGCTATGTCCCTGCCTTCAAAGCATCCCCTGCTCCCTGCATGAAGCAGCACTGCAGCACAGCAGTGTGCTGGGTCCCGAACAAGGATAACGGTTGTACCTGGCTACGTGGTGGTGCGACGGCTGGAAATGCTTGATCTGGTGCTGGACGGCCACACAAATACACCGTGAGAGGGTTGTTCACCTTGAGAAATTGATCTGAATCCTTTACACCCAAGGTCTTGGTAGTTACAAAGCCAACTTTCTTCCTCTTGCACAGTGGAGATGATGTGTTTGTGGGCCGACTGCCTGATCTCTGCTCCCAGGGGGAGGGTTTCAGCATCACACATGTGGTGGCAGCATGGGCATTTGTGCTCGATGAACTACCTCCGATGGCCAGGTTAAATGTGCTTTTGGCCTCTGATTGGATTTTTTGCTTTAACTCAGCTAAGGTCAGTTTGGGCTGGCTCCGGCTCTCCTCCACCTGCCAATGGCCACCAGCAGCTGCCAAGAGCCAAGTGTGAGATGGAAAGCAGGCAGTGCTGCCTGCCCTGAACATTCCCATGGCTACTTGTGGGGTTTCCTAAACCACCATGACCTCTTGCTAAGGCCCTCTCCAGGGGCTGGCCTCTCCCATTAGTTTCTCTAGGCCTGCAGCTGTACAAATCTCCAGATCCTACAGCAACCCATGGCAGAGCTCCATGTCGTAGTTTCATGAGAACAGCTTCCACTTGCTTTCAAACCTGCTGCCTGCTAATTTCAATTAATGTCCCATAATTCTCTTCTTACAGGCAGCAAATAACTTCTTGTCTTTACAGTCCGTGACTGTTGGGTTTTCACAGATGACTTCTGTTTCCACCTCCCCACTTGTCTCCTCTCTATAAACTTCTGCCAGCACCAGAAGAAACTGCATGGAGCCAATGTCCGAAACTTCCCAAGACAGCCACTGATTGGGTTGACAATCTTATTTTGCACTGAATTAACTGGGCTCAGCATCTTTCCCTGTCTTCTCAGTATGCCAAAGTCAAAGACAGAGGCCCTTTGCTCACAGACCATCTGTGTAATAGATCACTCTGACACCAATTCACTTGTTCTTTGTGTAATACGTTATAATCTAGCCATTCAGACAGACATGTAAAAAAGAAAACTAACATGGCCTCTAAAATCAATGAGCCAGTAAATAGAGGGCTATAAATAATCAGGAGAGAGGATTTAATTAGCAGCAAAACTCACTTGCAGTACACTGGATGCGGATGGCAGCCTCCAGTCTGAAACCGCCTCACGTGCTCTGACTTCTGCTGGCAGTCGCTGGCGTGGGCTCAGCCGATGTCCATAAAGACATGCCCTAAATTGTGATTTGGGAGCGTTTTGCTCCCCAGCACTGCGCTGCGTGACAGCTGTCCTGCAGCTCTCCGTGCTGATGCTGCTGAGAGCAGTGCCAGGCTGTGGGCAGGCAGGGACTGAGTGAGCTCTGCAGAGCATCAGAGCCCTGGTGAGCAGAACCTCTGGCTTCCACGCTATGGGCGAGGAGGGACCAAAAGAGCTCTGCAGAGCATCTCAAAGCCCTGCAGAGCAGAACTGCTGGCTTCCATGCCTGGGCTTCCCAACAAGCGACAGGGACAGGAGGAAAGGGGCTGCATTCCTGAACGTGCTCAGTTAAGGAGCAGTTTCCTCACTCTGCTGGTCCCTGTCACAGATTATTGGTGGCACCGTAGATGAGGATATTTCATTAGAGAACTCAAAAGGAGGTTAAGTTGTAACCAGTCTAGGGTTTGAAGCATCTCTGGCTTGAAATGAAGGCAAGGTTTGATAGATCCCAAGTGCATTCTGGTAGGATCATGGTGTCTGCATTTCAGGCAGAGCCACCAGCTGAACACAAATCGTTTCAGGAAAGAAGCTTTCCACAAAGCCCTCTCTTTTGGTTATTTTGTGCCTGCTTCTTTTCTTACTCATAAGTCAGTTTTTTCCTCACTGGTTTCTACTTGTAAATTCACATAAGATTTTTCAAATGAAAGAAAATGTACTATTGAACAGCACCACCCCTAAACTTCTAAATCCTGAATTCACTGATCTGAGGTGTACTGTATCATGTAAAGAGTAATTTTATTATTGAAAGAATTATTCCATTAGGTCAAAGCAGATTGTAAAGATCCCTCTCCTGTGTTTTACTGCCTTTATTGAGTATCCAGCCATATGCCTTTTTAGTATCCACGTGCTATTTGGTTTCATTAATGCTTGCATCTGCTGGTGATTTGAGCAAGGGCCAAAGGTTGAAAATTGCAACTCAAGGATCCCATACTACTAAAAGATTTTATTAGCCATAAATCTATTATAAAGTGCCTGTGTTGACAATAGGGAATAATATAATCAAACCTCTCTCCCCACCAGTGACAGCCCTGCATTGCTGCAAGGATCCACATGAATTAATCTGCCTTGTTAACCGTCCCAGAGTAAGTGCCTTTCAGGAGAAGAAAATACTTGAGAAAAATACAAAGAAACATCTGTGCTCTTACAAATACACCCCGCTTTCTGGAGGGGCACTTGTATAAATAGATGATGCTCCATTCCTGCATGATTCTCCTGGGCCATGCACTTTGTGTCATTGCTCTCTCTTGTGCAAAGCAAGTTGCAAAATGCTTCAGTGCAAGAACAGAGGCTGTGCACTCGCTGCATGGTGATTAAAGAGCTTGCAAGGCAGGTGAGCTCCCATACTTCAGGCCTTACCAAAGTTTTTGGTTTTGTTTTTTCCTTAGGAAAACTTGGATTGACTTCAGTCACAGCTTGCTTGAGCAAAGTGAAATAAAAAACATAAACTTCCAGAACTTCCATGCAGGTGACCGCACATGGAGAGAGAAGGGACTGTCCTGCGTACTACTGCTCCCAGAGGTACATCATTTGCAAAGGGTTAGGGCTGGGAGGAGATGAGTTTTGTGCTGATTTCCAAGACTCACCTGTCCTGTTTCCACCTCTGCCACAAGCTCTTTGGGTGACTTTTGCTCCAGTTCAGACTTGCGTGTCAGGACACGCAAGGACACTGATCCCTACTGTAAAAGGAGTGCGTGAAACTAAAGTGTCCAATGTTTGTGGTGCTTTGAGATCTCCACGAGACATAAGCTAACCAAGTAATTCCACCTGGAGGCCAGTAATTCTCTTTTTTAAAAGATGTGGCATTGTTCCTACAATGAAAGCTACGCCAGCATGGACGCTTCCTCCTCTTCCCCGTAAATGTCATAGGAAAATGTTACATTGCAGCCTACCTGACAGCCCTTCGCAGTCACCCTTCAGTGTGAGCAAACCTCTTTTGTGTCCCATGTCCCTTCCCTTTGCAGTCTCTATAATCATAATCCCAAACTGGAGCACAAAGCTGCATGGTATTTCAGGTGTATGCCGAAATAAAAGTCTAATTGCCATCAAGATGAGGGGAAGGCAGCTCTTCCTGAGTAACAAAAGGAGCAATGACGAGCGGACTAAACGCTGCTCTCCGTTACTCCTTTGAATGCAGAGAATCTGGAAATTTGAACAGCACTGTCTGAGACGTATACCAGCACAGCATTTTAAAAGCTTGCTTTAAGAAATAACATTAATGTGATTCTGAGATAGAAAGCTACAAAAAAAAAAAAAGTTACTAATTGGTCCTGCAGTGCTATGTGGCCAGGCTGTAATTGCTTAAGAGCAGAGGCTGAGCAGCCCCGTAGGTGCAACGAGCTGCCACTCGTGCTCTGCATGGGACTGTCTGTCCCAGGACCACCGTGAGATCAGTTTGCATTGAACAAGAACTGTGTTCTCAACCTTTCCCAGTCCTAAAATTCAGGTTTTTATTTCCAGAATAGCTCTGGAAACTCCATGCAGCACGAAAGCAAATGATGGAAGCTTGCATTGCTTTTATATCTCAGAAACACTGGCTTGTGCGACCTCCTGCCGGCAGTGCAGCTGGTCACTCTGATGGAGCATATGGAAGCAGTAAGTTCATATCCTTTCTTCTTCTACCTGTCACGCTGTGATTGCGCTCAAGAGAAAAATATTTCATTGTCCAGTAGCAAAGGCTGCCATTATAGCCCAGCCTCCATCTGTCCATTAGCTCCCCCAAAATTATGTGAGACGGAAAACAACACCGTGAGTCCATGGCAAATGATGGGTAGAAAGTACACAGGTACCTCCCAGGAAATTTTCTGCAAATTTTCAGAAGTGCTGGCACTCTGCCCCTATCTGTTTGTGAGCACACAAAATTAAATGTAAAAGTTTGTCATGTGGCTGACCACTCCTGCTCTTACAGAACCCGAGAGCTCTGTATTTCTGGCATGAAACTGAGACTCTGGTCTCAAAATGTCATGAGCAATGTACCAAGACCTGTTTCTTCCTGCCTGCTAGCACTGCCAGCATCTCACTGGCTGATCTGTTCTTTATCTTAACTCTTGAAGACAAAGCAGCAGTAAAAAAAAAAAAAAAAAAAAAAAATTAAAAAAAATTGTAGCTTGGGTTTTGTTTTCTCTCTGCATCATTTGTATTTCTCCTATATCAAATTTTGTTGGGACCATTTCATGCATAAACTTTATTTTTCTTTTGTGCCAGAGAGAATCTGAGGAATGATTTAATGCAACTCCCTTTATGAATCTCATTGTGACAGCAGCCTGTCATCGCTGCTTCTGCAGGGACAATGCGAGGGAGAGAGGGGAGTGCGAAATATGTCAATCAAAAGGGAAAGATAGGCTTGGGCTTTCATAACATTTGACTGGGCTTCAGAAGATTCACAGACTTGGCGATCTGGAGGCAGACGGCCTGCTTGCTTTTGCTCCTGGTACTTGCTCCCCGTTGATGGAGGCGGACATGCAAAATTCAAAGCAAGACTGCCCGGTGGTGGATGTTTGGGATCTGTGAAGCCATGCCAGGGCTGGGGGAAGAAGTTCTAGGGATTTGGGGGAAAAAGGGAGAAGTAGATGGGGCTGGATGGGATTAGGATATTGGCAACACATTCTGTACTGGATGCAGAGGCCGTGGAAGTTAAGCTGTGCCTTATGTTTCAATTATTCTATAAGCTTTCAGCCACCCACAAGCTCATGCTTTAAGTACCCTTTTGAGAAGGCCTGAGTGAAACAAGTCCATTGTATTTTAGAGTCACTTACTGCTGGGTTTCTCATGCTGGTGTTATGGTTGGAAAATAAATGGTTTCTCTCTTCCTTTTGCAGAAAGTTGCAAGCACTTTCAGCAGTCTTAAATGGAAGAATAATTTTCAGACTCACAGTAACTTCTCTTTCTAAACCCTTCTTCCCCAGAATTACTCTGGACGTGCATCTGAAAGGATAACTAAAAATAAAATATTGTCAGTTGTGTCGGGATTATCTTAAAGGTGTTCAGAAGCCAATGAACTGAGCTTAAAAGTGAGATTGTTGCTGCTATTGTCGGTGGACAGCAATTCAGTGCACTTCTCAGCAAGACCTAAAAGCTAATGCCTCTTGTCTGCGACTCCCACATACTGCTGTGTGCTGTAGCTGGGGGTTAAGCACTTAAACTTTATTTAACAAAGGCTCACTTCAACCATAGATTCAGACTAGGGGAGGAGAGGAGGAATACCTAACTTTCGGCTCCGGAAACTCTTGAAGCTTGTCTTGTTTCTGTACCAAAGAGAAGGCTACATGGAGGAGATGGAGCATTTAGAGCTGGAAAGGTGGGAACAGCAGACAAACAAGTACGAACTAAATAGGCAGATTTATTAGGCATGTTCGTGCTATCCAAAGTGTCTTAATCTCGCTACTTCTATCATCAGCAATTCCCCAGGCACTCTGGAGCAGTCTCTGCTTCTTAGGGAAATTTCACATTTTAAAAACTGCTTATGCAGAGAAAGAAAAAGACCCTTATTTTTAACTTCCCCTAAAACAAAGTAGAAGTTGCAAAGAATCCAGCAAGTTCTGCTTTTTTTAGAAGTACTTCAGTTTTAACTCTTAATATCAATTGTGTTAAATTCTGTATAAGTGAGATTTTTTTAGAGATGATGTGTAAACAGTTTTGATAGCACTAATTTGAACATTTTAGGGTTTTTCCCCTCAAAACTACAAGTTTCCCTGCAGAACCTTTACCCTCATTGTTTTTCTTGGGGAAAACCTTCCAACTAATTACGTATATATTTATTCAGGAAAGCGTTCTTAATTCTAAGGTGTGGAAGAAAGAGGGAGTCCATTCTTTTGGTTGGGGAGCTATAAATAGCCATTCACTTCCACATCAAGCCGTCATCTTGCTACAATTCATTTTTGGAAGCTTTCAAATCCAAGTCCTATCTAAGTTAGGGTTATGTTCCACATCTCCAGAGATTGCATCCCAGCCTGCATAAGCACAACCAAAGCTGGCTGCACTTTGCATCCAGCCCCCGGGGAAGATGGTTCAGTGCACGGGGCCATGCCATTTCCTTTTCTAATGTTTTTTGAATCCAGAGCTTTTCAGGCAGATCTATCCAATTTGGGTTCTTGAGACGATTTCGCTTTTACTTTTCCTGCTTCTTTGCTCTGCTGGTATCATCCGCTCGGTCAGAGGTACGTGAGAGCACAACGGTTTGCTGTGCTTGGAAGCAGCTCTTGGTTTTAGCACCGTGCTGAACCTCGGTCTCATGTCACTTGAAGATCTCTTGTCAGCAGGAATTCTGTGCTCCAGCTCCTCCGCTGATCCATCGTGTGACCTCCAAGGTCTCTCCATGCCACCCCTGCTCCTGAGCACACGCCTTCCGTGTAACGCAGGCCAGCATCTCCGGCCCCTCTCTTTTCTGCAAAAGTGCCCTGAGATCTCTGGATGAAAAATGCTTTATAAAATTGTTGTTCTCTGGAGAGCAATAGAATTGAGTGAGAGCCTTTCTGTTGAATTTGTAAAGCCAACTACAGCTTTTAATGGCAAATTAAGTCTTTACTGCAGGACTCCATAGGCTGGTGTATTACCATTCCCAAAATACCTGGAATAATCCATTTCTCTAAAAGCCTTAGGACACTAAGTGAACTGAATGAAGCCCCTACAAATGTAAAAATAGTCTAGACTGTGCTCCTTTCATTTCTTATCCAGCAACACAAGGCTTATTTTCTCCCTGGTTTTGCTCCTCATATGGGTCCACAATAGCAGGAATCTGCTCTGGCTGTGAGACAGTTGCCAGATTCATTCCTCCTCTGCAGTGCGCAGAGCCCCACGTCCCTGCGGCCACTATCTTGAATCCTGGCAGCTGGCTCGGGGTGTTGGGCTGAGCTCCAAGAATAAACACTTTCTAAGGCATTAATCTTTATAGTGATTATCTACGGCAACTACTTCATCTGGCTTTTGGAAATCAATCTGGGGGGGGATTTTTTTGTGTGTGAATTTAATTTGACATAAAACTCATGGCTGCCCTTTAGAAGGACCGGTCCTACTCCATGTGCGAGTGGGACGAGTGGGGAGGTGGCAGTCACTCGAGCAGATATTCAGAGGCCGTTTGGGATTGGTTTGATTGCAAGCTGGGCTTGTGGAGATGAGGACACAAGGATAAATCCTCTCCTCTTTGGGAGGTGCAGAGCAGGACACAGGGACATCACTGAAGAGGAAGGTGTTCGCTCTCCTGATCCTCTTGTTGCAGTGGGTTGAGCCAAGAACACTGTCCCACGCAGCCCCAAGAGCTCTTTTGGCTCTGTCACCCCCAGCAGTAGCTGAACCCACAATCCTGAATTCACACTGAGTTCACAGCCCACCCATGTCTCTTCTGTGCAGAAAGAGCTTCTAGCAACTGGTCCCACCTGAGATATCCAACTGCAGTTGGTCTGAATCAGTTTCTTGGCAGAAAACATAGTTTGTGCAGGATGACAACTCAGAGGGCAGTGCTTGGCAAACCGCGTTGCCCTTGTTTTCAGGGCACCTTCACATCTCCTGCCCAGTGGCTTCAGCCTGGGCTATGGGGGCTCCCCAATGTGATTCCTCACCTCCTGGTCCTGCGTCTGGACTGGAGCTTGAAGGTAAAGGGTGGATTTTTGCCACCTGCAGCACTGAACCAGGCCTTTCAGCAATTTTTCTTTCCTCCCTCCAGCCCAGGAAAGGGAAGGGATCAGAGAAGTGGGAGGAGGATCAGAATTTAAGTGCAAACGTTCAAGCTGCATTTAGCACCTGTCTAATTTTTAATATGTGCTTAGCTGCGACATGATATTAGGCACTGAGGTAAGTGACAATTTATGCAGCATTTCTAGATTAGCTGTAGCACAGAGAGTAGCTGGCTTTTTTGGCTTGGTGACTGCAATGGAAACTAAAATCACTGCAGTCCCAGTCAAGAAAACTGTATACTTGGGGAAGGACGATGTCACAGGGCTTTCTGCCTTTTTGTTAAAATGAAGGGAAATTCAAAGCTCAGTGTTTTGAAAGGAGAAATATTTTGATCTCTGAAACATGTATGGCACTCGGTTTTGGGAAGGCTGAGAGTACAAGGAGGTGAACCAGAGCTGCATTTCCCAATTAACAGATGATATCTGAGAAGAGTCCCAGCTTTCACCCACGCCCAGGGCAGCTGCCCCTTAGCATGGCCAGCCCCCGGGGTGATGCTGAGTACATCTTGGTGCTGTTTTCCAAATATGCAGTTAGATCTGTTCCCAGCACAAGGCACTAACTTAGACAGAAAGCCAATGTGCAGAAGTGAAAGACCACCATTCCAGTCAGAAAGGACCGAAGACCAGCACAGCCTCATCCCAGTGCTGGGATGTACAGCTGCAAGGGGCAACAGGAGCTGCACACGGCTGCTTCTGGCATCCTATGATCTGGCTTCTTCCCTGGGGCTCAGGGTTTCTCCCTTCATTATTCCAACAGCCTCTCTCCTGCTGTCATCCATCGACTGTGTGGGTCCCTGGGTCCTTGTAGGAGGTGCAGGGAGTGGGGTCTGGCTGGCCCCTGGAGCCTGAGGGACCGATTCTGTTATCTTCACCTCTGCACACGGAGGGGTTTCACTGCTCACGCTGAACAGGAGCAGCGTGCAGAACATTGCCAGGACACAGCAGCCGTTTCCAGAAGAACATCATTTCTCTGAGTCCTGCCTAGATCACAGAGAGGGGAAAATCATTGATCTCCTGTACATGGCAGCTTATCTCAGGGCACTGTGGGTGAAATTTCTTTCTTATCTGAAAGGCCATTGAAAGACCCATGCACTGCTTGTTTCATATAAAACTTCAGGCAGATTTTGGTCAGTGCACACAGTGATTTTTTTTAAAATATCGTGCTTTTTTGTTTGTTTGTTTGTTTTGATGTTTTGTTTTGTTTTGTTTTTCTAGCCAGCATAGAGAAAACAAACCCCAGCCCCGGAGCAGAAGATAAGCAGCAGAATGCCCTTGCACCTTCTGATTCATACAGCTTAGGTTACATCTCAAGCGACCCAAGGCCAGGGTGAGTATAGATCCGAGCTGAAAGCAATGCTGCCCTGTTAATAACATTGATACACAATTTCCAGCTGCCTGTTAAGAGGAGAAGGGTGTTTTTCAGCTAATAGGATGTTTTTTTCATGTAAGATGCCAAGCGACAGTTCCTTCGCAATGATGCACAGTGTTTGGTCTGGCACAGAAGGCTGTCTGATGATAAAATGCCTTTTCCTCCTCTTCTCCCTGCCCCACTGAAATCTGTGTTTGATTAGCACCTACATCTTGTCAGAGCTGGCACCACAGACTTAAGAGCAGGGCAAAGTGCCACCTCAGCAGATGGACGTCAGTGCCAGCACTGCTGCCCACACCAGGGAGGGCTCCGGAGGTCTGCAGCCCCCCGAGCCATCAGGCTGACAGTACCAATGCTCATTCCCGCTGTGGTGAAGGAAGTGACAACTGTTCCCTCTGAAAATTAAGTTTCAGGTCAGAATTGGAACAAGCTTCTGGCCCAGGTCTGCTTTTGGACTGGGCTGGGTTCTTGCAGCACGTGGTACCTTGTCCTGCAGCATCGTTCCATGGTGCCTCCTGGTGCTACGTGTAATAATTCCTGCTTCCTGAAGGTCTGGCTTGATTACATTCCTGGTAAAGAAAGATGTTAGGACCTCCTAACAGCCCCTCCTTTGTAGCTAAGCTACAAGGGGACACACTCTGCCCCAAGCCATCCAAGTGAAGGTGGTTGCTTGCCTCAGATTCCATCTAAATCACCCCAGGCCTTATGCACCGTGCAGACAGATGCTCAGCCATCTTTCACATGCTGTCCTGCCAAAAAGCCACCTGAGAGATTTTTAATGCTCCTGGGTGCAGAGCTGGAGCTGCTGTTGTCCTGAACTGTGAAATCACATGCGTAGCATGACTGCATCATGCTGCCTGCACATGTGGTCTGTGCACGTGGGATTCATGTCATCGGGTCCCATAGACTTGTACCTGTTTAGATTCATCAGGTGGTCTCAAACCTGCTCTTCACTTACAGGGGGTGAGACTTTGATACCCCAGCCGCCATCTACGGGTTCAGGGAAATGAAAGACTTGGGAAGTCCGTCTACCAGTGCAGACGGAGGCAAAGATGTCATTGAGTACCTCAGCCTTCTCCGTATCTGTCATTGCCAATTACTCAGATATAGAAACTTACTCCTAATATAAGAAATTAGCCATCTTTCATTGCTTACACACTACTATTTTCACCCCTCAGTCTATTTTCACAAACGTTAAAGGAGCATGGTGGCCCTTGGGGACACCTCCTGTCACCCCAGTGCAGCAGCTCGAAGGAAGCTGGGTCCTCTCTTGTGCTCTTCCTTGAGGCTCTGCACAGAAGAGATGCCACCTCGGGAAAGAAGCACTCACACAACCCCTGAGAATCAGCAACAGATTTCTTTATTGTTGGGACATCTTGCAGGTAAGTGCGCGAGATGTCCATGATGTTTGGTGGCTCCAAGCTAATGGCTGGGATGGAGCCTGAGCAACAAGTAGGGAGCTCGCCGGGCACTCCTCCGATGCTGTTGGTGAGCTTGGATGGCACAGGGGGAAGGCACGCTGGGGTAGCCACAGGTCTGTTCTGGCCGAGGTGGATCCACTTCCATTGGTTCCTCCACATCTGGTGGATCCACCTCCATGGGCCCCACGGTGTTTGGCAGGAGGCTAAGCCAGTCCTTTCCCAGGACTGCCCAAACAGGATGCCTTCCATCCTGAATGTTTTCTGGCCAGGGTGCCGAACCAGGAGGTCGTCCAGTTCTACCCCTAGGCCCCGTGCCATTGTCCAGTTCGTTTCCATGAGTGGGTCCCACGCTACCATCTGGTTTATGGCCATGGTTAGGTCCCACACTGTGTTCTGGACTATGGGCACGCCTTTGCTCCCTGCGGCTGCCCCACTGATGTTCCTGCCTTCTCCCCACGCCGCCAGTGTGCCACTGGTAAGGCCCAGGCCCCCTGTCGCTGTACAGCTGAGGGGCCGGCCTGTTCCCCACATCATTGTGGTGCCAAAGCTTATACATGTCCATGGGCTTGGCACCAGAGGTCCCCTGAGCACTGGTGTCTCTTGTGCCACAGGTGCTATCCCTCTGCCCATGACACTTCTCAGTAGCTGCCTTCCTTCTTGGTGCTTCCGTGGACGGCATTGCCATCCTCGCACACCAAGGAGGGCCGCTTCTCGCCTTGCTCCTTCTAGCCTTCTTCCTGCCTTGTACGCTGACTATCAGAGACGCTAATCGCTGAGCAAGTGGTGGGCCAGCTGCAGGGATCCCCTTTTACAGGGCCCGGAGCAAAGGCGGGGCAGTGGTGGCCACTGTGACCTCAGCAAGCCTCTGTGATGGAGTGGCCCATGCGTGGCCAAAGGCAGCTGTGGCTCCACACAGGTCTAGCCAAAAATTCATACCATATGACTAAGTGCACAGTCCAAACGCTTCCTGAATTCTGACAGGCTTGGTGTCATGACTATGTCCCTGGGGAGCCTGTTGCGGTGCACGACAACCCTCTCAGTGAAGAACCTCTTCCTGATATCCATCCTGAACCTCCCCTGCCGCAGCTTGACACCATTCCCTTGGGTCCCATCGCTGGTCACTAAAGAGAATAGGTCAGCGCCTGCCCCTCCACTCCCCCTCCTGAGGAAGCTGTAGGCCACAATGAGGCCTCCCCTCAGCCTCCTCTTTTCCAGGCTGAACAGGCCAAGATGATCTCAAAGGGCTTTTCCAACCTTAATGTTTCTATGATTCTGTGATCATTTAGGTCCTGGTCCTTCTGGTTGCAGTTGTGGCTGGCAGAGTACTTTTTGTACCTGTCCTACTCTAGATCAATATCGAGGTTGGGAATGGGGCTGGGCAGGAACTCTGCTGTTATTTTGGGTCGTTTTGCCCTGTAATCACAGCAGCACAGCGTGGCAGCAGCACAGAGAACGACTCCCCCTTCTCTCCCTGCCACCACACTTATATAGGCTCAATCATGTTCTCACTAGAGGCAGTCGAGCCACATTCATTGCACAGTTTGTTTGTGAGCTTGGCATTTTTCATCATTTAATAATATGCAGCAAACGGTTTTTCACACTCTTAGAGCAGCCCCATAAAGCACTGCAACGAGCTTTGGCAGTGATTTTACTCAGCACATTTATTGCATCAGTTGTTAAATAGAGCTGTTTGTGCATCTTAATCAGAAACCTGCCCCTTGTTTTGTTTCCACTAATAGGGGAGAGGGGAGTTGGGTACAAAAAGGGTTTTGGGGAGGGACCCCAGTTGCTTCAAATTGCCATATCATAGCTTTGTTGAATCTCTGCTGGAGGTTCAGCCCCTGTGTTTTAAGGTATATGGAGCTCCGTTGTTAATTAGGAGCAATTTTAGTCCTGTTTTAAGCAAATGACCTCATTTTGTATAATAACAGTGTATTCACACTGGTGCTATTAGCAGTGTGTTCACAGGGTGTCCAGGCAGGCTGTGGCTGGATGTTACTGGGTCTGGAATGGTTTTTGGCTCTCAGTATCACAAACTTCTCAGCATTGCTGGTGTCCCAGGTGACTAAAGACTGGCAAGGAACAAGCACAGATCTTCATGGCAGGCAATGCATGTTTCTCCAGCTCCCCAATATTTCCAGCTGTCTCTGGACTGAGTGTTGGTGGGGCTTGGCTCTTGTGTCTGGTTGGCCAACAGTGGGATCAGCAGCTGGGACCTGGGCAAGTGGTGGGAGCTGCTGTCTCCAGAGAGCAGGACGTCTTTTGCTGGGTGTTGTAGCCAGCTCTTACCCTCTTTATATAGCTCTAACCACTAGATGGAGGCACAGATTGATACTCAGGGAGTGCAAGTTCCACCATGGAAATAACTATAATCTCCCATTTTCAGAAATATTTCCTCCTGGGATCTCTCAGTTTACCTATAGGGTCTACAGAGTTCACTAGACAGGCAGTCTGATTAGTCTCATTATAGAGATTAATTCACCCATTGTGAAAGTAAAAGAAAGAAACAACAAACACCAAAACGGCAATGCTGGTATGGGATGCCAACATGGGACCCACTGCTCCAGCATGGTGCCAGCAGTAGTTCTGGACGGACATCTCCTAAGACTGCAGTGACATGGCCCCTACTCCTGTTCTTGCCCTTTCAGCTGCCTCTGCAAAGCCTCCCTGCCTGTTGCTGGTGGCTGTTTTGGCTATGGTCGCTTCTGCTCTCCTGCACGCTCCAGTTGGGTGGCAGTAGGAGCATCTCCATCACCTATGCCATGGTTAGTGGTGCTCTAACTCGTGGCTAGCACAGCCCAAACCAACCCTTCGGAGGCTTCTCTAATGGGCTTGCACAGGGACATCCACACAGCAGACCATGGCTTGTTGCCTCTCTTCTTTCCCCCTTTCTGGACAAAAAACGTGGTCTGAGCATTCGCGGCATGAGTAGGGCTCTTCTTTTTTGAACAATGTAACTTCGTGCAACACCCACGTAACCCTTCCAGTGTGAGCAGCTGAGGGACAGCTCCAGCTTTCTGGAGCAGAGTTGTTCAGAGCCCAAGGTGAGCTGCTGGCCAAGCTGGTCCTCTCCTGTCCTCTGTGAGCTACAACAGTTTGATGCATATCATGAGCCTAGAGCAGCATATATTGGTAGGGGAGCCACAAAAATGATGAAAAGGTTTTGAGAATTGTGCTTGTGAGAGACAGGCAGGCTCAGGCTGGAGGAAAGATGACTGTTTGGAGGCAGGAGTGCTGTTTGCAACCAGAGAAGAAGCTGTTGTGGGGCAAGTGGGGAGAAATTATCATCATTAGTCACTGACAACAGCATGAGAACTAATGGGCTGGGCTGCAATAGGAAAACTGCCGGTTAAGTGCTAGGAGAAACATTATAGCTCTGAGCAAAACCGGTGCATTTCAAGTGGGTGGAGAGAGTCCACAGCATCCCTGCTCCCAGAGATTGCCAGCACTGGGCAGACCTCTCTCGGAGAGAAGAAAATGCCAAGCAAAGCTCCTCTTTCAGGTGCAGAAGACACTGATGAAGCAGGAGCAATGTCC